TTTAGTACGCGGAGCAATCTGTGGAGCTGGAAGCTGAGAACTGGCGACTTTGTAGTACAACTTTCGTACATTATGCCCCATATTGCGGACGTGCGACAACCGCTGGTGTTGTTGGCTAGTTGTGGCTGCGCACACCTGTGTGCACAATACCTCGTACATCCGTCGTGCACATCACTCTCTTACACCTTCTCTCCCACCCCTCTGTTGTAGGAAGCTGATATCACTTCCTGACAAGGCCGTGTTGTAGAAGCTATTGAGACTCTGACTGCTTTGTGCTTTAGAAACGTAAGATTCGTAGATTCATATGTGGGGTTATCCGGTCCTTTAATTTTGGCCTTCACGGCCTTCGACCTTTTCTGCAGGTTCGGATCCTCCAGATGGACGCTGACTTCCGCCGATGCACCTGGCGTGACGACATGGTCAACACCTGCCGCAGGCCGCCGATGCACAAGGACGCGGAGACGAGAGACAGAAGACGTGAAAAATGCCTTCACCTCTCAAATCTGCGCAACAAGGAGCTATTAGGAACAAGTGCATCGCTTCTAGTAACAAGTGCCTTACTAGTAGTAACAATGTTCGCTACTAGGGGCTCCTGGCATCGCTACTAGGAGCAAGGATGCTACTAGGGGCTCCTGGCCTTACCGCTAGGAGCATTCTTGCTATTTGGTACAGCCGACAGCTGGAACAGTGAGTCCCATTGAATTATGCGACAGCTTTCCTTGTTTCTTTTGCGCTAGATTTCCTGGATCGTGACTTTCTCAGATGACAGGCAACCATTATCCTTGTGTTTCGTTGATGATCGTCCCTCCTCAGGAGGTGCAAAACCAAACGGCCGCTTGGCCAGATGTGAAGCTCCACAGAAGGACAGCCTGCATCCGCTGTTGATCACTGACTTTCCCAACATTCAAAATAGGATGTGGCGGTGGTGGAGGATGGCCGAGGTGATCAACTGCTCTTTGCTGGTCCTCTAAGGGTCTATGCCCCCGCATTCATTGCAAACCTGTGAGAGACCAGGGCCGTCAGAATGATCTGAACACATTTGGTGGACCACGACACACCGAGAACATGTGTTTAGACGAATTCCTCATATGATCTACTCAAAACCCAGGAGTTCAACTGACTGCATGGCTTGGGTAACCATCAAGCACACAGATCCTGTTTGTTTTCCTTCTACTTCACGAGATGTTTGGACTGGACAGAACTTCAACAGAAGGAGCCAGCAGTCACCAGAGAGTTTTGGAGGATCCCTTTAGTCTGCATTGGAATGACCCAATGAAGGACAGCGCTCCCAGTCACATAAAGCTCGTTCTGCCCCTAGTAGCATCCTTGCTCCTAGTAGTAAGGCCAGGAGCCCCTAGTAGCGTCCGATCGCTCCTAGTAGCGATGCCCTTTGCTCCTAGTAGCGTCCTCGACCCCCCCACCGTTCTTTCTTTTGATTGTAATCTTTGCCCACTCTTTTCGTGACGCGCATCGTGGGAAGCGACCCGAAACCACACCACCTCCAAGAGTCGAATCGAGCCTCGCACACGCACATCCCTCAGACAAGATGTGATTTGATCGCATTGCTTTGGTCCCTGTTTTTGGGGTCGCAGTGAATGCTTAAGGCTTAGTGCGGAATCAGAATGCTGAATGCATTGCTTTGCATGGCTCGTTGCGTCCGTCGCGCCACCGTGCCGTTGCGTCCGAGGTGGGAATTCTAGGGCTCGGCACCATCGGCCGCGGCGTCGCGGAGCGCGCCGCGGGGCTGAAGATGCGGGTCTGCGCGGTGGACGCCAAGCTGCCCGCGACGGTGCCGCCCTACATGGCCTGGGTAGGCGAGAACTCGAGGATGCGGTAGGATGGGTAGCAGGGCGGAGGGGAGGTGGAGAGGAGGAGTGCCAATTTGGCTTGGGTTTGGTGGTTTGGCCTAATGTTCATACCAGATGAAGGGATGTAGCATCCTTGCCCCTAAATGGTTCAGCTGTTTACTCAGACTCCCACATGCTGACATAGCCAGGAAAGACATGGACACCCAGGATTTTCTGGGTCCATGATAGGTGAACTCACTTGTGTAGAAGAGGTGCACTGTTGGATCAACAAGTTTTTGTGAGCAAACCAAGTTTTCTTTGAATGTAATCAACTACTTCTTGAGTAGAAGTGGACTTCCATCAAAACCTCCGCAACCAGTGAGCCCAGGCACCACTTGTTTGACCTTACTTCTCTCGGAGGCACAGACGCGGAGCTGCCGCGGCTGCTGAAGGAGAGTGACTTCGTGGTGGTTTCCGTGCCGCTGCTGCCACAGACCAAGGGCATGATCGGAATCAAGGCCAACGACGGCAGACGGCAGAATGGATGGTGGGAATGGGTCGTGGGACGTCTAGAACGATTGTTGGAGGTAGATTTCAAAGAACACGCAGCACAGGTTGGTATATGGCCATGATATGCCATGATGGGGTTGTTCTTTTTTTCCAGGCCCTTAAGCAAGTTGACACTTTCTGCGCGTCTCACTTTGCGAGCAGTGACAAGCTAAGACTGGCCGCCCACAGGGCAGGTGATACGTTTTGTGGGCCATACTGCCATGTGCTCCTGCCGACTTGCCAGGAGCTTGCGCAGATGAAGCCGGATGGTGTGCTCATCAACATTGCTCGAGGGCCCATCGTGGATGAGGTGCCCTTGTGGACAGCGCTGCAGAACCAGCGGATAGGCGCGCCATGGAAGCCATGAAGTATATAAATTGGACCACATCCACAGGGTAGAGAGCCACTGAGCACCAAGGTCAGTTTGAGGATGGGTTCTTGGATTTGTTTCCCAGTTGGAGACACCGAGAAAATCAAATGGCTTGCATAGAAGAGTTCAGACAGTCAAGACTGTTTGCTGACCCAAGCCTGCGTGGAGTGTCTCAGACAATGGACCATGGGAGATCCGCAAAACTGACTTGGAAGTGAAAGTAGGTGAGCAGCGAGGCTCCAGTGGTTTGTCATCAAACGCTTCGGAGAGCTTTGCCTCCAAGACATCCACGACAAGCTTTTAATTATGATTTCTTGTTTCTAATAGCGATGCCCTTGCTCCTAAGTAGCGAGGCCAGGAGCCCCTAGTAGCATCCTTGCTCCTAACTTCCTTGGTTTGTCATAAAATTACGTGGAAGTGGACAAGCATTTGCTTGCCATCGGGGCCTTTTTCTTCGATTGTTCGGAGTGTAGATCAAAATGCTACCTGACCCGCAGTTCGGGGGAAGAGGAGACCACCGCGCCGAACCGGGCGCCCGAGTCAAGCACCCCGAATCCGTTGCAGGTGGCGCAGTGCTGGATGTTGCTCGACTGAAAATAGATCTTCAGGATCATTTTGGATCGAACATATATCACCATCTTGTCTTTTTTGGCTACAAGCTTCGGAGCAGACCTGATTTCCAGAGCGAATTCTTATTTACATTTTTTTGGCGCTTCTGACTGACAATAGAAAGGCAGTGAAGTTGCTGGAGATCTGAAGAAACCTGGACAGACAGACTAGCTAGAACCTCAAAGGAATGAGTGGAAAGAACGACAGGAATGAGTGAAAAGAACACCCACGAGAACATCCGGAAGAGGTCTGGTGGAATGATTTCTCGTGGTTCCAAAATGGCACTTGGCCTTCCACCTTCAACTTCAGCAGCCTGCCGAATGCCGCTCGGTGGGGTGATGTGTTGGGCCAGACTGGGTATGAGGGGGTGGACGCTGAGGCTTATTCGTCCTTTTTTTTAAAGTTTCTCTATAATGTGTTTGAATGGTTGTGAATCAATGATGGATGTAACACGGTTGGACATGGTGAGGTCGGCAGATCTTTATAATAGTTGACGCGTTGATGCAGTGTGATTCAGAAGCATGGTCCTGATGGTTCATGGCTGAAAGCAGGTGAACACCGTATCACACTTTTGGAGGGTGGTTCTCAGGTGGTTCTCGATCTCCCAGATCCTGTCGAAGGATTGTCGCCAGGTACAAGAGTTGCAGCATCAAGTGCTGTTGATGACTCGATCGGCATTTTTAGTATGACACAAGATCCTGACATTTCAAGCAAATAAACACCCACTGACCGTGATAGAGGCGAGGTGATGGAAGATCAAACACGTTGAGACTCGGAGGATCCCTCCTGGTCCGAAGTATCAACGACACCCACCGCACCATCTCACTTCCCGGGACCAAGACGGCTTCTGGTGCTTCCGAGTTCCATGCCTTGCAGTGCCTTTCACCATCGGTGAGTCGAACTGGCAAATCCGGATGGGTAGGTTGGCCCAACGGTCAAAGCGTAGGTCGATTTCCCCAAGGGCTGGGGTGCCTAGGGGGTGCCTGCGAGTGCCTTCCTACACCGCTACACCCAGCGCCCGCAGGTCTGGATGACGCCTCATGTCACATAGCTGCAACGCAGGAGATCGAATGACCTACTAGCGATGGCCTCCAACCTGCTAGCTTCTTGCTACTAGTAGTAATGCCCTTGTTGCTAATAGCGATGGCCAGAGCGATGGCCTCCAATCTAACACGAAGGGGATCTCAGCAGATCAGCTCCAAACCATCCCACGGATGTCACGACTGTGTGTCATGGTTGCTTTCAGTGCTGCTTTCCTGTTTTACTGCATGTGGCTCGTCGATGACATCTAAGCTGTCAATTTGGGACTTGGCAATGAAAAAAAAAAATGCCTAAGATGGTTTTGTCGTCATGTTCTTTTGGAGGCCATCACTATTAGGCTTTTGAACGTTGAGCCTTCTGCTCACCTTCCGAGGTCAGTGTGAACACGGCCGAGGCACATGAGACCACCCTGGATCAGGCGACCGTGCGCGTCGGCGCGTCGTGCTCGGACTGTGTCGTGAGAGGCGCTTTTGATGGGCCTCGGATATCTAGAACCGGTGGAGTCCACAATTGAGATTTGAATTCTTGTTTTATTTTTCCTGAACTTTCGCAGTGGGAAGGGGTATTGAAAGTTTGACCAATGCTTCTGGAGAAGGACATGCCATCCAAAATGCATTGCCTAGCGGAGGTAATGTGTGGGTTCAAGGACGAGGTTCCTTTCAAGAAGCATTGTGATTTGAAGTTAACAAATCAGATCGCAAAGATAGGTGTTACAAACTGGACTGCGATGTTTTGTTCTAAGAAACATGTGGGCAGGGTGAAGCTTCACCCTGCCAAGCTTCAGACTCGTTGTGACCTTTTCCCGCTGCCAGGCTGCAAGTAACCTTTTGGCCTTAAGCCGTGGAAAGCCTTTCCAGAATGTGGTCCGCAACGCGAGTGACGCCGGTTCCGCCGGTCAGCGGCCAGCGGTGTTGTTGGCATGAGGATGGAACCACGAGAACAGGTGGTTGACACTAGAAGTAGCGTCCTTGCTCCGTTCGTAGTGATGCACTTTGCTCCTAATAGTGTCCTTGCTCCTAGTAGTAAGGCCAGGAGCCCCTAGTAGCGTCCTTGCTCCTAGTAGCGATGCCCTAAGAGGTTTAAGCATAAAGCTTTTGAATGAGATGATCATCCCATGCCACGCTGTCAGCAATGGGTGACATCGGCCTCTGTTTTATCCCATGGAGGGATTGCGGGTTTGCGCAAGCAGACCGGCCAAGAGGAATGCCTCCGTGAAGAGATCACAGAAATGTCACTGGAGAAGAACGAGGTCATTGAAGAGGAGAAACGAGGTCGTTGAAGGCATTTGGTCATCGCGCAACCAAAAATGCTGAATGCTCAGGATTGATGGGTCACTGAACTTCACAATGCCACAATGCTTAAACCCACCCCATCCACGGCCTGCATCTGCAGTTTTCGGCCGAGAGGAGCGCTCTCGCGGTGGAAAAAGTTTGGGCACAACAGCACGGTGAAGTGCCGTTGACCACGTCAATCCACCACCATGGGGTCTGCATTCGCTGCATCTTTGGTCATTTTCGTGAGCTCCATGGGCCCTGCACTTGTTACCAGTAGCATCCTTGCTCCTAGTAGTAAGGCCAGGAGCCCCTAGTAGCGTCCTTACTCCTAGTAGCGATGCCCGTTGCTCCGAACGTAGCGTCCTTGCTCCTAATACCTGCCGAGACACCCGAGGCGTCCAAGTTGTGCTGCACAGAGCTCCGAGACGCATCGGCTTTGCGCCTGCTCGGGGCACCCGTTGGGGGTCGGCGCGCGTTCGTGCGTGCTTTCCGGGTCGATGCAACTGCTCCGGGTCGGGAGGGAGGTATATGTGTCCAATGGAATTGAATGACTCTATTGAACTCTGTGCAATGAGACCCTACAAGATCGAACATACTATCCTGCCGTATGCCTTTCCACATTCTCTGCTCACCCAGATCCAAAACAAGGCAACGCCCAGATTAATGACCCCGGGAATTGGCACATGCGTACAACGTCGATCCAACCTAGAAGCAATGGCCTCCAACCTAATAGGAATGGCCTCCAACCTAATCGCGATGGCCTCCAACCTAATAGCCTCTCTTTTTGGTCTCCAAAATGGCACGCCCATGGTCACGAGGTCGCCCTATGCAGGGGCCCGGGAGCCTGACAAGCGCTTTGGACAACTCCCGTTGAGCCTTTCGGTGTATCTTTTGTTGGGAGCAGCCGATGCATCATTTGCACAGTCGGTGGGGTTTCAATGTGACCACTACAAACCTTGTAATTTCTTAGGGACGAAACGCAACCCAGCTCCAATGGAACGGGTCACCAATCAACCGGTGACCCTAAGAACTGTCGCAGAACTGCCGCACAAGACTAAAGACTCCGAAAGGCTTCAAAGCTTGGAGTGGAGTTTGGGTGTGGTCTCAACCTGCTCGTGGCCTTGAACAAATTGCAGGCTGGCGGTGGTTGGTGCAAGTTATATGTGGAGACTTTTGGGGTGAGTTGGTTTTGGGGTAGAAACAATTAGAAACATTTTGCGAAGAAGTTCATAGTAGCCCCTTCACCAAAGGTCCCAACGGATGAGAAAGACAACACATACGGACAGTCAGTCGCTGGAACTGGCATGGCCTCAAGCAGTTTCAGGCCGCTCTTAGGTTGGAGGCCATTGCGATGTATTTGCTCCTCAGGTGCCCCATCGGTCGAGAATCGCTTCGTTCTTCGGATCCCAAGGCGTCTCCAACCTTAGCCGTTCTCGTACCGAGTGATGTGAACACGAGCCTCACGGATGGCGCCTTGAATTTTGCACCAGCATAGTGCAATATGGAAGTGCAGAGGAGGAGGGTCTTCGCTCCAGGGTTCATGGATGTCACTCCAGACTTCATGGATGTCATCATGAAGACACACTCCTGTGAGAAAGACTTTGACTCGGGCAAACAACTATTTCAACCTCGAGTCTCCCTTCACAAACGGGTGAATCGCTTTTGGGAACGTCTTGGACAATTTCACACCCACTCTATCTTTACCCACTGCCTTTGGCCACTGGCAATTGAACATCCCTCGTGTTCTCCGCCATGGAGATTTCATCCGTGCCTGTGGTGCGTGTGCTGTCAGCGGTCACTGGGGATCTCTTCATGGCCGCTGGGCAGAAGCTCTGGGTCAAAAAGGGCCATCACCAGACATTGAAGTTTCACAGCTCTGTCCAGCAACCCAAAAGGAACCTCATAGCAACGGCCTCCAACCTACTAGCGATGGCCTCCCATTTGTCCCCCCTGCTACCGGTTTGCCTATAAACAAGGCCTATTTTCAGGTCGTCAAACAAACAACTACTTGGGGGGGTGCAGATCGTACATCGCACCTTACTTTTGGCCAATTGCCACAGCTCGTCCTTGGCAGATCCAGCGACGCATATGACTCATAGGACAGCTATTAGAGCAGGTGAGCAAAATGACAGTCGAGGTAAGAAAGGGCGGTGGCACACGTGGTTTGAGTGGCACACGTGGTTTGAGTGAATCATGCGGACACATATGGACACATGGAGCCACGCTCCAAAGCCTGAAGATCGTTGCAGTGGCACATGCAAAGTTCTGAAGACCCAACCCCCCGAAAATCCGCAAACTCCTCACCTTTGCACACGTGACTCAGCGTCCTGCTTCTCCGCCGTCGAACTTCAGCCTTCTTTCTAAAAGACGGCCCCTGGAGCTGGCGAGCTAGGTTGAATCGGAAGACAAAAGTTGAACTTCACCGCGCTGGCGAAATGTAGACTTTTAGGGCCATCCAAAGGTTGACAGATGTCCAGCATCATTGAGCGGAGTGAATCCTGTTGAATCATGAAATGCTGGCTTCGAATCATGTTGAATCCTTCGATCTTCAGCAAACCAATCCGTACTACTATACTACCCAAAAGGAGTCTTCCACTGTTTTTGTTCCTGGGTTTGGTGGTGCCATGGCTGCACCAGCTGAGCCGGCTGAAGCGCCAGCTGAAGCGCTGACTGAAGTGCCGACTGAAGGGCCGACTGTAGCGCCGACTGAAGCGCCGACTGAAGCGCTGACTGAAGGGCCGACTGAAGTGCCGACTGAAGCGCGGACTGAAGCGCCGACTGAAGTGCCGACTGAAGGGCCGACTGAAGTGCCGACTGAAGTGCCGACTGAAGGGCCGACTGAAGTGCCGGCTGAAGCGCGGACTGAAGCGCCGGCCGAAGCGCCGACTGAAGCGCCGACTGAAGTGCTGACTGAAGCGCCGACTGAAGGGCCGACTGAAGTGCCGACTGAAGTGCCGACTGAAGGGCCGACTGAAGTGCCGGCTGAAGCGCGGACTGAAGCGCTGGCCGAAGCGCCGACTGAAGTGCCGGCTGAAACGCCTGTGCGTGCCGTGGATTGTCCTGGAGCACATGGCTTGCAGAAAACGAACCTCGGAAATCTGGGCCGCATGTGCGACCTTTGCAGTGGATTCTTGCCTCCCGGACACTCAGCTGCGAGCATGAATGTGAGGAAAGATAAGTTAAGACACAAAAGCACATAGCATTGGTGGACTTTCAGTCTATAGATGGGTCATTTTGCCTGAGCTGAAGAGTGTCCACTCCGCCAGCAGGGTGAGACAATTGATATCCATGTGGATGCTTACCGTACTTGAAACTCTACCTACTGACGAACACCCACCAGGGCCACTGTATGAATATGGAATTGTCATGAACGGTCTATTGCCCCAAACACGTTGTGTCTTATTTAAAGCTCACTGAAGCACATATGGCTTGGATAAAGTCGAGTTCTGCAACTGCGCAGGATTCCGCAACTAGGATTCCGCAACTGTTTGGTCGGATTCCGCAACTGGGATTCCGCAACTGGGATTCCGAAACTAGGATTCCGCAACTAGGATTCCGCAACTAGAATTCCGCAACTAGGATTCCGCAACTAGGATTCCGAAACTAGGATTCCGCAACTGTCAAGATTCCGTAACTAGGATTCTGCAACTGGGATTCCGCAACTGGCGTTCCGCAACTAGGATTCCGCAACATTGTGGACTCCCTCACTAGGATTCCGCAACTTTGTGAATGATGAGGGATGTCGAGATCACACGATGGGGACAAGGGGGGGTTGGGGGTGGGGGGGTTGGGTGGGGGGCTAATGACGTTTGTTTGGATGTGCTTCGAAGGTGATGTCACAGGCACACACGCTATCGCATGATGTGGAGATCACCAGTTGCAAGTTTCAGAAGGCAAGTTGCAGAATCTGACTTTCCAGTTTCAGAATACCAGTTGCAGAATCTGACTTTCCAGTTTCAGAATACCAGTTGCAGAATCTGACTTTCCAGTTTCAGAATACAAGTTTCAGAAGCCCAGTTTCAGAATCCTAGTTTCAGAACCCCAGTTTCAGAATCCTAGTTTCAGAACACCAGTTTCAGAATACCAGTTTCAGAATCCAAGTTTCAGAACCCTAGTTTCAGAACCCCAGTTTCAGAACCCTAGTTTCAGAATCCGACCGATTAGTTTCCGAATCCGGCTCTAACCCATATGGCTTCTTCGCTTTTCATCTGCCGCCGGTGCAAGGAAGCATCTCTTATGCCTGCAAAGACTGTGGCTTTGATGTTTGCCCACCCTGTATGGAGCCTGATGGCCCCCGCAAGAACGCCATGGCCAACAAACTTCTCAGGTGCGATTATAGTGAGGTAAGTTCAAATCATTTGGCAAGTTCGACTGCCTTATGCGTGCCTACAGAGTTGGTGTTTGTTTGGGTTGGAGGCTAATGCTATTGGAGGCCATGGCTACTAGGTTGGAGGCCATCGCTATTAGGTTGGAGGCCATCGCTATTGGGTTGGAGGAGGCCATCGCTATTGGGTTGGAGGCCATCGCTATTAGGTTGGAGGCCATCGCTATTGGGTTGGAGGCCATCGCTAGTAGGTTGGAGGCCATTGCTATTGGGTTGGAGGCCATCGCTAGTAGGTTGGAGGCCATCGCTATTGGGTTGTAGGCCATCGCTATTGGGTTGGAGGCCATCGCTATTGGGTTGGAGGCCATCGCTAGTAGGTTGGTGGCCATCGCTATTAGGTTGTAGGCCATCACTATTGGGTTGTAGGCCATCGCTATTAGGTTGGAGGCCATCGCTATTGGGTTGGAGGCCATCGCTAGTAGGTTGAAGGCCATCGTTATTGGGTTGGAGGCCATCGCTAGTAGGTTGGAGGCCACCGCTATTAGGTTGTAGGCCATTGCTAGTAGGTTGGAGGCCATTGCTATTAGGTTTCTTTTTTCTTTACAGTCAGTGCTTGCTTGAGTGTTTGGTGGCTGATGGAGGTATTTGGAACAAACTCAAAGCTATGCAGATCAAGGGAATCAGGCACGTGCCCGGGAGGTCTTGCCTGAAAGATTTCTGGAGCAGGTTTCAGATGGAAGTGATGCTCAAGATCAGTTGATTGATCCCAAGATTTGCAGAGTAGGTATTGTCGGTATTGTTATGTGGACATTCAATCCACAGAGGACATGGGGGTGTTTGCAGAATCCCACAGTCGTTTTTTTCAAGGGAATGACAACAGGTGTTTCCTTACAACAAGCGCCAAGGGTCTCTGGTTTGGATGGCCAAAGGCCTTCTGCAAGGTGTGTGCCCAGTGCCCACGGCAAGCTGCGCAAGCTGTTCTGTTGCTTTGTTTCCACAAGATTTGGAACTTCTAAGGACTTGTTGAAGTGGTTCAAGAACGACTTCTTCCGCTGGACAGACAGTCCATTTTGCCAGACCTGTTCGACCAAAGCCACGAAGAACGAAGGCTTTGTTGAGCCAACAGAGAAAGAACTTCGCTATGGAGGAAAGAGTGCCTAGGTAGCAATTGCGGCCAGACACTCTGGGCAGAAACACCTTCTACCTTGCTTCAAAAACATCTAAACAACCAGGTTTGATCAACAAAACCAGGCGGGACGTCCCCTGTTGCTTTGCAGGGAGGGACAGATTTGATCCACCAAGAAGTGTGTTTTCGAGGACCCAAAGGTCTTGTGGAATCCAACAACTGGATGTATTTGGTGATATTTGATGATGTTATCAGTTTTCAGACTCAAAAGGCAATCACTGCACAGTCGTACCACCCCCCTCCCCCAAACCACCCTCTTTGAGCTCAAAACCTGCACGGTGTCCTAAACGCCTTTAAACATTGAGGGCAATTATGGGTAGCAACGCCCTTCTAGGTACGGAACCTGCCTCACCTGACCCTACTTATAAGTAGTTTGCTAAGTCTGCTAAGTATGTTCCAGCCTATTTACATCTGTGCTGCACCTGTTTAAAGCGAGCGCAACTTTTCCACACCTATGCACACTTGCGCCATCAGTTCATGTCAACACATAGATAGAAACTACGAACCAATCCCATGTGCCATGGATTGTGAGGAGTGGAATCCTGGCGCTGCACTGGTTGCGATGCCCTTCTGCGGTTTCCGCGTTTCAACGACGCGGTGCACTTGCTGGAGACGCGCCATGGTCGGTGTCTCGAAGAGGAATTCATGAAGATGCTTGTTGCTCCCAGTAGCGTCCTTTGCTCCTAGTAGCGATGCCAGGAGCCCCTAGTAGCTTCTTGTTCCTAGTAAGAATGCTCCTAGTAGTACGGCCAGGAGTTCCTAGTAGCGTCCTTTGCTCCTAGTAGCGATGTCAGGAGCCCGTAGTAGCTTCTTGCTCCTAGTAGCTTGTTGCTCCCAGTAGTAAGGCCAGGAGCAACTAGTAGCGTTCTTGCTCCCAGTAGAAATGCCCTTGTTTCTAGTAGGTTCTTGCTCCTAGTTGTTTTTGATGGAAGCCAAAGAGCAATAAAGCACACAACCCTTTTTCAAGATGGGTCTAGATACTGCTCCCCTTTTCAGGCAGAACCAGCCGGAACGTGTTCAAAGGTGCAACCGTGGTCCATAGCGTCTGAAAGACGACAGCATCCCACTTTCAGACTGGAAACTACTAGCGTGGCACTTGTTCCTAATAGCTTCTTGTTTCTACTCGTAAGGCACCTGTTACTACTAGCGATGCACTTGTTCCTAGTAGCTTAGACCTTTCTTCCTTTTCTTTGGTCTTCTTTTTCAACTAGAAGCAATGGCCTCCAACCTAATCGGGAGGGTGTTCTTGGGGGTTTTGGTCGGGGCAAAAGCTACGAGTGATTCTTGCTGCCTTGTCCTACTGACAGCCTAAATGACCAGTATGTGGAAGAATGGGAAGCATGCCCCTTTTCACCACTGAAAGACGACAGACAAATATGATTGCTCCCTCGGTGTGGGCCGCTTGGCCTGTCTGAACACCATCGATACTTGGCCGTCTCGGATGCGAACGCACATCAATGCACCGAGGTGTGGCGAGTGGGCCAATTGCTTTACTCTTCTGTTGGCGGCCTTGGGATTTCAGGCGCGTTTGGTGGTCGACTGGACCGATCACGTTTGGAGCGAGGTGCGTGTGGGAGAGCGCTGGTGCCACTGCGATTCGTGTGAAGCAGCCTTGGATTCACCACTGATGTACGAGTGCGGTTGGGGCAAGAAACTCTCGTATATTATCGCCTTTAGCGCGCAAGACACTTGGACGTATTTCTCCTGTGTTTGAGTGTGCAGACGATGTAGTGTGCAGAGTTTGCACTTTTTGATACTTTTTCCCACTTGTCTGAAAATTGACGAAAAACTTCAATCATGTCCCCCCTCAAAGATGTTTTCCACGTGAAGGGGTATGCAGTCTGAACCTTCCAGGTGCAGTGAAAACATGAAGAACGGTTGAAGGAACAATATTTATATTTTCTTCAGAAGCGGAGCCTCATCAGAGGTATACTCATGCGCTCCTGTCATTTGTTCACACAACCAAGGAAGTGGTGGATGTCTCTCCCCGCTACACACAGCAATGGCCGCAGCTCCTGACACGGCGTCAGTTGTTGCCGGAAGAAGAGCTTGCCAAGTTAGTGCAAAGTCAAGAAGCTTGGCGGCTTCATGCTTAACAGTTCACTGAATATGGAGCTTTTAAAAGGTATGTTCGATGCTTAGAATGGAGGCCATCGCTACTAGGGTGGAGGCCATCCCTATTTGTTTGGAGACGAAATGTCTTTCGAAGAGGAGCCCTACTTGTTGACACCTTGTTGGAGGGGATCAACAGCAGAGCAGATCACCTGCACAAGGACTAGCTACTTGAACCATAGTCTTGAGTCTCCTAGACTGTGAATCCTGGCGACCACATTGTATGTAATCAATGTAGACTACAACTTTTTTTGCCTTTAGACCTCTGGACTTTTTCTTTCATTGGTTCTCTAGAAATAGACCTTTAGGCCCCTGTCTCTCTCTCTCTCTCTTTTTACATGAGATTCTGTTAAGATCTGTTGGACCAAGGACTTGCTTGCGCGGTCAAAGTCAGGCCTAGCAGACCCTCCTTGGCGCAGTGCGGAGAGAACTGAACTTGATTCCTTGCAGGCCAGGCCTGCAGCACAATTAAATCGTTGCGAAACATTTGGATTTTGTGCATTTTTGTGCTCTAGTGTTTTTCCCACCATTCACTTCTAGAACCACACCCATCAATGCGGATCTTTCTTCAAAGGCGCAAAATCCATCATCCCGCTACTAGGGGCTCGTGGCATCGCTACTAGGAGCAAGGACGCTACTAGGGGCTCCTGGCATCGCTACTAGGAGCAAGCAAGGAGGAGCAAGGATGCTATTAGGGGCTCCTGGCATCGCTACTAGGAGCAAGGAAGCTACTAGGGGCTCCTGGCATCGCTACTAGGGGCTCCTGGCATCGCTACTAGGAGCAAAGACGCTACTAGGGGCTCCTGGCATCGCTACTAGGAGCAAGGACGCTACTAGGGACTCCTGGCATCGCTACTAGGAGCAAGGACGCTAGCATCGCTACTAGGAGCAAGGACGCTACTAGGGGCTCCTGGCATCGCTACTAGGAGCAAGGACGCTACTAGGGAGCCAGTCCTGACATCGCTAGTAGGAGCAAGGACGCTACTAGGGGCTCCTGGCATCGCTAGTAGGAGCAAGGACGCTACTAGGGGCTCCTAACATCGCTACTAGGAGCAAGGACGCTACTAGGGGCTCCTGGCATCGCTACTAGGAGCAAGGACGCTACTAGGGGTCGTGGCATCGCTACTTGGGGCTCCTGGCATCGCTACAGGAGCAAGGACGCTACTAGGGGCTCCTGGCATGGCTACTAGGAGCAAGGACGCTACTGGGGCTCCTGGCCTTAAAACTAGGAGAAGGACGCGACTAGGGGCTCCTCGCCTTACTCCTAGGAGCAAGGACGCTACTTGGGGCTCCTGGGCTTGTAGGAGCTAGGAGCAAGGACGCTACTAGGGGCCCCTGGCCTTACTACTAGGAGCAAGGACGCTACTAGGGGCTCCTGGCC